AATTCTTGGAAGTAAATGCTTAACTCATAAAACGTGAATATTATTCAGAAACCCAATGGGAGCTGGCTGTTTGGGCAGTAGGTAAACTGCAGCATACAGCTCACTTTAATCATAAGAACGTTAATTATCTCATTTGTACAGTTCACCATAGTCGCTGACTAAGAAGTGTAGCTGCTACTACAATGGTCGAGCTACATTTTCGAGTAAATTGTTTCTCTGCTTTATGAATGTGCTTCACCTGTGCTCACTTACATCAAAATCATTTACAGATTCGCCATTCAACAACCAAACTATAGTGTATAAAATGACTACTTAATTTGTTTGAGTTTGAGTCTTTCCTTATCAGTCACTAAGGAACACAGAAGAAATGTAGAAGGAAAAGTGTACTTGTGTATGAATGCCTGTATTGAGATCATGTGCCTTAGGATATGTCTATTCCTCATTTCAGTTAGCAAAAGCACAGGTATAGGCTACAGTTGGATTCATGATCAAGCACACGTGACTAATGTGTCGTATATTGGATGACAAGAGCTTAGCCCCTCGTTCTCTTCTTTACCGGGTTAGTGAAAAGTACTTACTTCAAATAACTTTATGAACATATATGCTTTATTAAAATGCAAGGCAACCAATGCAGACATTGGACTTCTCAGACTATTTTTATCTATGGAAGGGATTTGATTAATGTATTTAATGAAGGAAATTTTCATGGAACCATTAATTAAACAGTCTCAGGGACTTAAAGAATGCCCACATCCAACGATCGTGACTGAAAGTCGCATGTAATTTGTTTAGTCTACACAATTCCAGGGATACGTGCTGCTACTTCAATATTCCTCATGCTGGTTTATGCAGATATGACGAGGATTCAAAACGTTAAGGTGCAACTGCAGCTGAAATCCGGTGCAGGATACTTTCATACTTTTGTTTATCGTCATAGTCCAGACTGCATACAATTTTACCATAACTGCTGAAAGAGTCAAACGCTTCTAGGCAATGCCGTCCGTCTAACCACCAACAAGCACTACCACACCACCCCTCCACCCACCAGCACCTTCCGGCCCCAGCGCACCATGAACTTTATTCACCCTTCCCACAAGTCCTTCTCCTGTGAAGACGGAAAGTGAATAAGGTGCACCACGATGAGGGGTCGACAGATTTTAAATTAAGAGACTGTAAATGCCTTTTATCCTTACAGAGGCACTGGCTATCACCCATTTGGTAAGCAAGATGGGAGTCTCCTCACAATATCTAAACCGCCAATTGTGGCACAAGAGAAATTGGCAGCTGGGAAGGGATAGAATTGTTGTACTGGTAGTGGAGTAAATAATGCAGAAACCCAGGCTACTATACTGCGAACATTGGTTCAAATCCCACCACTGCAGACTGTGAAGTATATCTGAAATTAAAAGTTATTTTAACTTTTTACATGAGACTGTTGCTGTAAAAAAGGACTTCTGGCGCACTAATCCCTTTTGGGAAGGGAAATCTGCTGTCTTCGTTTAGAATTGCCTACGTGTGACTCCAGAACAATGCAGTTGGTTCTGAAATGGCCTAATAGATCAATTGTATTTAATGGCTATGCAGTTTAATACAAGGAACAAAACAAGTTGAAGTAACATTAACTAGGAAATAGTCATGACTCTGACATACACGGCTCTGTCATCCTGCAAAGTCCTCTTTGCTAACATCAGGATGATTGCACCGAAATTAGAATGAGTCTCCCACATTCTAGTGAGCGAGCAGCCGATTATACTAATTCTCAATAAATCATACCTGACAGACGATATCCCATCAGTAAAGAAATGGAAGTTGTTGAGAGTGGTATCAAGCATCACTTACTCACTAATAACCTGCTCAGTTGTGCGAAAGTCTGATCGCACAAGGTCCACTAAACTTCTAACTTTAATGCTTCCTTGGTCAAAACCTTGGATAAAAGAGATGAGCTCAAGAGAGGAACTGAAGGTGACCATCCTTGACATTAAGGCATCAAGACTGCCCAGCAAAACTAAAGTCAATGAGATAATAATAAAAAAAAACACGAAGTACTGGAGAAACTTAGCAGGCCTGGCAGCATCAGTAGAGAGAAAAACAAGGTTAACATTTCGACTCCAATATGGCTCTTCTTCAGACCAAATGGGAATCATGAGGGAATCTCTCCACTGGTTACAGCTGTACCCAATGTGATTATTTTAGGTCAGTTGTTCAAATCATAGGGCATGGCTGCAAGACTTTTTGTTTTCAGGAAACTGTCCGAGATGGAGTGGTTTGCTGATGATTGCAGTTTCGACAACTGTCCAGGTCACAATCTCGGAACTCCCTTCCTAACAGTAGTGTGGGCGCCCTTACATTGCAAGGACTGCAACGAATCAATAAGACAGCTCGCCACAACCTTTTCAACGGCGGTTAGGGATGGACAATAAATGCCGGCCTAGCCAGGAGCACCCACGCCCCTAGAGTGGATATTTAAAAACAAATCAGAGCGAGAAAAGAACTGGGCAGTCAACTGAAATAAAAATGCTTTTGTATCGTTATAGAGTCTAGTGTCTCCAACGTAACACTCGCTCTTGAGTACCGTCCGAGAAATTTGAAGATGTTTTCTCAAAAAAAAAGCTGCGGAAAAAAAACTACTTTGCGAGTTAACGCTAGTTAGATCAGTTGACAACAGAGTATGGACTCTTAGTCAGAGGGTCCCGACCCGAAACGTCAACTTCCCTGCTCCTCTGATGCTGCCTGGCTTGCTGTGTTCCTCCAGCTTCATGCTGTGCTGTCTTTGACTCCAGCATCTGCAGTTCTTGCTATCTCTTAGATCAGTTGACAATTTGTTTCTGGGTGAGTTCTGAAGCGACTGGTAGATAACATTGCATAATAATGCATTGCTCCTAGGTTATTAATAATGAATATTTAAACTACCCAATGCCCGCAGTAGTAAAAAAAAGAGCATTCAGTTGATTTGCCAGCCCCAATTCACCCTTCTTTCTTTCTCAGTAGCCATCACGAGTGATCTTACGAGCATGAACACAAAACTTGCTCTTTTAAATTCTGGTGAGATTTGGTGAGTTGGGGTCTGGTGAGGTCCAAAGATGTGCAGGTTGGTTGGATTGCCATGCTAAATTGTTCATAGTGTCCAGGGATGTGCTGGCTAGGTGGATTAGTCACGGAAAATGCACGGTTACAGGAATAGGTTTGCGGGATGGGTCTGGGTCGGATGCTTTTCGGAGGGTCGGCGTGACTTGATGGGTCGAATGGCCTGCATCGACAGTGTCGGGGTGTCTACGGTTATATAATTTGGACTGGTTGCAAACGGGCGAATGTCCACAATTGGACTTGCTCTGGTGAACCCCTGGTCAGTGTGTTCCAGATATCCGACTGGAAACAAAGACAGTTCAAAACCATTGTGGTGGCAGTGAGATATCTTAGCGTGCGCTGTACGCCTTCAGTATTGTTGCTGAGTCTCGCACAGTACTTTTTTTTTGCTCATTCTCCCTAGCGACGCCTTGGCTCCAATGGTATGGGCTGTTCAACTAATAACAAATTGTATGTGAGAGACCTAAGGCCCCTGAGACCTCACAATCTCTATTGAATAGAATATAAGAAAAATCATGAATTGAAAATCTAGCATCTACGAATTGAAATGCTGTGTATCTAATATTTTAAAATAAGCAAGTCAGACCAGGAAGCACAATTACATCTCGCCTCATTCCTGGATCGCATAGCAGGCCTTTGTATTGGCGAAAATACCAGGTAACAAAAAAAATTTGCAAATCCAAAACTATTTATTTGTCTGTTGAATGCCATTTGCTCCAGCCAGTGGGAAGAGCAGTGATGCTCAAGTACAGTTGAATGACTGTACCCGAGTGGCCGAGCTACACTTGAACAAAACTGAAGGGGAAAAAGCCAATGTTCCAAACAGCAAGCAGGAATCGAAGGAAAGGAATAGGGAGAAGGAACATGGAAACGAATGATTGAGCAGCAACATGGAGTGAGGGAATATGCATTCAACCACTCAGGGAGATTCTAATTGATTAAAAGCTTTAAAAGCTGAGTTCGTGCTCCACCTTACAGGAGCTCTCTTGGAGGTTTCAAGCACAGATTAACTAATACGGCTCTCGTTTTATTGAGACTAAATGGGTAAAGGGGAGTATCATAACTTTCGGCGTGTAAGAAAGGGGGCCAAAATTTGAGGCTGAGGTGACCAGCAAGCTCAGGATTGGCAGTACTAACGCGGTGGAAAACTATGATCAGTAGAGCAAAAGGGTTAGGATTTGGTTAGGGTTAAGATGGGAAGCGGCTGGAGAAGCTGCTCGCTCTACTTTCCGACAGTGATCTTTACGACCACACAGACATGTGTTCAACTCGTTAGAACCTTTATAGAGCCAATTTGGATGCATATAGCCATACTAACCAATCGGACCAGGAGGCCTGGGCTCGAAGTCCCGCCTGGTTCCGTGGTGTGTAATAACATCGCTGAAAGAGGTCGATTAGAAAATATGTGCAAACCTATTAAGGTCGATAGCAGCGACTCACACATTCAAAACGCGAAGAAAATACATTTACTTTTCTGCAATTAACTTGCTGAAATTTGCCAATGGCACGCATACTTAAAATGTAACACTTCATTTTAAAATTTTGACATATGTCTTTCAGATTGACATATGGTAGATGACACGAGGGTTTTAAATATAGCAATGAAATGTTGTCCTACCCTGGGATCAACGGCCAATATTGGAATTATGTGGATTGCGCAAACAATGTCTTGACAGTTCATCCATCTCCTTTGATTTGTTGTGGATCTTGCTGGGTTGTCCAGATATTTAAAGCTCCATTGAATATTGCCAGGCCTCTCCGCATTCGTATCTTCCTCATTTCTTTCTTTATTCCTAGATAACACCTTTGCTTTGTCGTGGTTGCTTGGAGTTGAAACCGGTTTAACAAAAAACAACTTTGGGAAGAATAGGAAGCTGCTGGGCAATTTGACAAGAATCTATTTCAAATCAGAGACGATGAGCAACGCCGAAGATAACAACGCCGGGGTAGAGGAGAAGGTGTATCGGTATTGTGGGCACACATTAAAGATCACGATGTTTAAAGGATCTTCCTTAGGTCTTTCTGCTTATGTCTGGGGACCTGTAAGTCGAGTGACCTCGTGCAAATTCACTGTATAATTCTAAACGTAAATTCTCGACCTGTGCAAATGATCGTTGCAATGCTGCCTACCTTCGCTTGGACAAGCAGCTGGTTTCGGTGCGTGTATACCTCCAGAGTCAGTTCCCGGTCTGATTCTGAGACAGAATGGCACTGTAGCCTTAATGGAGCGGATTATTTAGCCACTTGAATGCTTACCGTGGCTTTGCTGAACACTGCTTGTCAATATTGTGGTCTGAGATATCTGTACTGACTCCCTCATTTGAGGGGCAACCGACCTTAGCATAAATGTTTTCTGGATAAATTCGGTGTTTACAGTTGAATGGTTTCCTGGAATCATTTACGTCAACCCTAAAGTAACAAAAATATTTGACAATCAGTCCAATGATACTACAACTCTCCGTCTAGGCTTCTCATCGTTGTGTTCGCGCCCCATCATAGTCTTGCCTCTCTTTCTCTCTCCCCAAGCCCTCAGCAACACGTCTCCATTTGGGCCTCTTACGCATACATAATTTTTGTATTTTTTTTATGAGTGGTGGCCATGACTTCTGCCAACAATGCCGCAAGGACTTTTTGAGAACGCTCCCGTGAATCACCTTAGAAGCGTTTTGCTGCGCCCATGGCGCTATGCAAACGCATTATTGTCGCTATCGAATGTATAAGACCGCTTTAAATTGTGATGTAGAGTGACCGAGTCTCTACAATCGCTACTACTCCCGAAGTGGATCTTGCAGTTTACTGGTTAGGTTAGAGAAACTGCCGGAAGAATCCCCAAAATAACGTGTTCACGGCAAAACGAAAAGATGTGTACTATCTAAGAAAATATAATCAGTTTTGATTGAAAAAGGGAAGGAACGATTTCACTTTTACAGTCACCTGATTTATATCTGAGCGCTCCCCAAAGAATTTTGATGAACTTTTAATTGTTCTCTGACGTTTGGCTGGAAAAGCCACTTTTGCAACTAAATAGAATGCTATTGCTGCCACTCAGCGTGTACTCTCCTATAATCAATCGCACTGATAGCTCAATAACCTATCAATAACTGGTGCAATCTGCTTCTCTTAGCGGCTTCCTGTGAAAGGTATCTACCTGCCTGCAGTCTGTTGCTTCTACAATACTCCTTACTTCTGATTCAGAGTAAACTGCTATTCACTTCCGGCAGACAATGCATATCACATGCATAAACATAATCTTAAAATACAGGAAATATACAAAAAAAAGTGAAGTGTTATCTTTAAAATGCTTTGGCTAGTGAATTTCAGGAAAAGAAAAGGTATCACAGATTGACAGGAAGAATGTTCACTTAGCTCGTAAAGGGTTAGTGTCTGGATACCTTGTTGGATCCATTATGGCTAGTTGACATTGTGTTACTGAAGGCAATAGTATAGCTTTTAAATTTTCATTTTTGGAGTCCTCTCACTCACTCAAGCAAAGTTTTCCAGTGAGTTTCCAACTCACAAACTTTAACGGGGTGGAGGGTCAGGAAAGAAGGGCAGAGGCTATTGCTCCTAAAGCAAGTTATTCCAGACCCTGTCTTTGATCAAATCCAATACCTTTTTTTTTCACATGAAAACTGGGTCATATATCATCTGCGTGAAAATTCAGGCAGCCTGTTTCTTATAAATGCAATATTTTTTCTGCTGTAATCAGCGCAGTTTGCCTTGTAAAGTGTTCATTCAGAAAAGTTCAATATTCATGTACAGTACGTACATCCAGTCAAAGCTATAAATTCTCATCTTGGATAACACATCTTCATAACAATCACTACACTGCTATTACAATGAAACTGGCCGTGAAAGATGAATAATTTGTGGAAAGGACAGTGGTGACAAAAAACTTGATGGGGATCCTTCCCTTTTCATCCTAATTTCTTTCTTTTATTGATTTTTTTATCTACAACCAACACACCCTCGATATATTCATTTTTCAAACTTCCTGCATGACGCTGTGGAAACTGCTTTGCCTATTACAGGAAATTGTCTAAATATCTTTCTACCAAAATGTTTACCCCCACCAACTAACATTGGCTCCCTGTTCCCATGCTGTCCTTGTGACTTGCACATTTGTGTTTCTTTTGCCAGGCACTTGTACTCTGCCAGTACTTTCAGGATAAGAAGCTTGATTTTACTGGGAAGAAGGTGCTTGAACTGGGTTCTGGCACTGGAATTGTGGGAATTTTGGCAGCACTTCTGGGTAAGTTAGCTCACTTGCACGTTTGATGTGAACAACCTTTGCGACAACAACATAATTGTTAAAAAGTAAAATCATAAGAATTGATATGTTCCTGATAGTGGCTTTTCTTTGTGTTTAGCCTTGTACTTGCTATCATGCTGTCCCCCACTTCCCCCCGCCCCAAAAAAAAGTTACCTTTCAGAGTAAATATACAAATGGATACTAATATTATTGCATATTCTTAAATCATCATTAGTATGATATTCCTTGTCATATATAGCGTATATGGCAAATACAACTACTCAAAACACTTGCATCTCTTTTATTCTTTCTTGCGATCTACCTGGTAATAGTTATGCATCACTTCTAACCTTCAGTTGCTGTTCGGTTCAGTTGATCTGCTGTAACTGATCTTCTATTGTGAAGACACTATTTACAATAAATACAGCTATGCTTATGATCAATTTTGTTTACCGCAAAGTTGGCACATTATATATCTTAGATGCCATTTTATGATTCAAACTGGGAAGCCTCCAACATGCTAGCAAGATTCTGGCATGCGTTTCCAGAGCCAGCTACAAACTCGGACAGACCTATAACATTAAAAAAAAGACTAAAACCATAAGTTAGTACTTCATACTTTAGTATGAAATGGCAAGATTTCACATTTTAAACCTGTTACATCAAGTGACAAGAGCTATTGTCTACTAAACAACTTTTTTTTTCGACTGGAGGGTCCTTGTGCCTTAAACAGCTGAAATGAATGTTCTCCTTTTGTACGCTTTCAGGCAAATCACAGAGTTTATACTAAACAGTCAACAGCTGCTCCCAGATGTCAATGGGTTCCAACCCACTCTGCAGAGTAGTGATACTGTAGTGACTTCGAAATAACATCTACAACACACTTTACTCAGTTTTTAAAAGATTTCTTGATCAGAAGTGAAGTCTATTCTGGTGAACCTTCACCCCAACGAACCTACACCCCCATAACCTCAAACCCTTGTCAGTTTCAATGGTCTTGTCTGCCATTCTTGAAGATTTTATCATCCTCCAAGGAAGCAGTCGACACTCCCATGAAAGCTACAATCTTTTAATTCATGTTCCAGCAGTAGGCTTTCACATGCTCATTTTATAGATAAAGTAATACGTTGGTCTCTGAATTATTTTTCATTTCCCATATTATCTCTGCCCCTATGCTGAGAAGTATCTGTCTTTTGGCTTTTGAGTCAACACAACATTCTGATTCTGTAACCCTTACAACTAATTGATATTTCTAATGGGCACATTAGTCTGCTTTCTTGAACCATGAGAGAGACTTGGAGAGGGATCCACGGCTCAGACTGAACTTGCCCATTACGTGTTAATTAGGATAAATGTTGGTCTAACACCAATGTAGTTCTATAAATGACTTCTCCTCCAGCAGATACACAGTGCACTTGACTAATCATAAGCAATTTATTCCACATATAGGTTAGACAAGTCAGATTGCCAAAGATAGCCTGCAAGGAATAAATTAATAGAACACATTCAGGACAAATTCCAGGAGCAGTAGGCTCACGAGCATAGCTGAGAGCTGGCTGTTCATGACTTGTTAATGATTAACGATAAATAATTACCTAATGACATCAAATTAAAGGAACATCTGGGTCTCCATGCTCACAACAAGACTGAATTTCATATTCCATTTGGGTGTGTATGTTTTAAACTTAAATAAAAACAATTACAAGGGTATGAAGAAGACAGAGCTGCTTAAAGTGAATTGGATAATTAGGTCAAAATATTCCACAGTCGAGAAGCAGTGACAAATATTTGAAGAGGTACTTCATAGCACTTAGCAACTATGTATTTCAGTGAGGAAGAAAGAGGGATGCACCGTCTGTCCATAAGTAAGAAAATTAAGAATATCATCAAATTGAAGACAAAAAATGTCTGTCATGACAGGTTGCTTTCAAATGAGCAGATAGAACTTAGAATCAGCGATGACGGCTCAAAAAAGGGGAATCAAAGTAACTTAGACATTTAAAAATGATAGACTTTCTATAAGTACTTAAAATGGAAAAGAACAACTAATGTGATCGTTGATCTTCGGGGGAGTGATAGTGGAGAATTAATAATGCGAAATAAGGAAATGGAGAAAGTGTTGAACATATATTTAAGTGTTGAACATATATCTAATTCACTTATTTCACTCTGTAATTTTTTTCGTTTAATGTGATAAGAACCAATAAGGTATCATTGCTTAATCTCCCACCACTAATCCTCAAGGCATTGGTCTTGACCGGAAATTAAATTGGAACCAATGGATTTAAAAAACACTATAGTTGCAAGATCAGGTCTGAAGCTGAGAAATCTCTAGCGAGTAATTCACCTCCTGATCCCTCTTACCCAATGACTCTCCATCTTTTACAAGGCACAAGTCAGAATGGCGATAAATACTCTGCATTTTCCAGGATGAATGAGTCTCCGAGAAAACTCAAGATGCTATTCACACCCTCCAGCATTTGGGGCACTGAGTCAGCCTTGTTTACCATTTGCAAGAGATGCATTCCAGCAACTCACCAAGGTTCCTCTGACAGTAACCCTAGATCCTCTGCTACTTGCAAGGAGAAGGGTAGCAGATGCGTGGAGATATCAGCGCCAACATATTACACCATCCTGACTTGGAAATTCTGTTGCTTTCCAGTCAGCATCACTATCTCCCCTCCCCCCGCAAACAAAAAAAAAGCTGCAAACTTCCTTCCAGACGGCTCTCTGGGATTTACCTACACCACGTGGAATGCAACAGTTTAGGAAGGTGGATCACCGAAAGTATCTTGACCGCCGTTTTGGGAATAGCCGTGCTCACATCCCAAGAACTAACGAAAAAGCGATCTGCAGCAGTGCCTCGCAAACCTGAATATATCCATTTGATCAGAGAGATTGGTTAACTTAAAGTAAGGACAATAAATAATCCAACACCCGGGATTAACAGGAGCTAGATTGAGTTAGAGAATCAGTGTTGCTTCCCTTCATGCTATCTGTGCATAGAATGATCCCATTTTATGACGCGTACACCAAACCTTATTGCATATTGCAGCCAGTGAATGTAGGACAGGAAAGTGTGGGTTACCGGAATCCATTTGCGCCATAGCATAGGGCAGGCTGTTCCCTAGGTCTTTAAGTCCAGTCCACATCATACTGAATACCCAATTCATTTCAATAATGTTGTTATTGTTCACTCCCGCTGATCACAATGTATTTTGGACCCTGTGCTCAGTAGGATCAGATGGTATTACTGATGTTGCTTTCTTTTCTCCAGGTGGACAAGTCACTATTACGGACGTGCCCGATGTTTTGAAGCAAATACAGTACAATGTCGATGTTAACATCCCAGACGCCTCCAAACATCGTTCAAAAGTCCGTGCCCTTCATTGGGGTACCGATCAGGATAACTTCCCGTCCGACTATGATTTCATTCTTGGATCGGATATTGTGTATAGCCCTTCACTCTTCCCGGGTCTTATACAGACACTTGTGCATTGCTGCAATGAAAACACCACCATTTACTTGTCTACTAACATGCCTGCCAGAATGGGGACCGAGAGTTTCCACAAGGAGCTTATAACAAGGCAATTCGACAGTGAGCTCGTTTATACAACCGGGATTATCTGTATTTACAAAGTGACCAAAAAACGCGCGAGATAAGCAAGGGCTCCTGACGCAAGAGAGAAGAGTGATCATCTATTTGTTCATTTTGCATCACTCTGGAGTCATAGAGTGAGACTGACAATATTTGCAAATGTCGGTTTGAATAAACTTATTTTACTTCTTTCCCCTTACTTCTTCGGTTCCTGCCTGTTTACTCTCTCTCAAATATTCGTGATTCACGCAGGCAAAATAATTAACACCCAGCTCTCTCCCGAATAAAAGCCCACAAACGATACCGCTATTAAATCACAGCAAAGACATTCGATCCAAGGGTTTCGGTTATTCGATCCCATAGCAACGATGAGCAGATAGACACATTGGAACGGAATGCTACCTTTTTTTATTTAATTGATGGATTAAATAATTGGGTTGACGCTTGCAGCATTTTGTGCAAAAGGGGATTGTATGTCAGATGCAAATTCAATTACGCTTTGCAGCAGAAACGAATAGAAATCTCCATTCTAGATACAATTTTCCCTTCGCTTTTCGCTCTCGCTAGAAATTCAACTGTCCCATTTCCACCTGTTGATCTAACATCCACTAAGCCCTCCGCTATTTTCCACACCTCTTAAAGTTGGAACGCGATCTCTGTGCTAAACTAAGAGTTGCTCACTATCGAATCCATTGCAGGGCAACATTTAAATTATAACTTGTTTGTACTCATTTAAGTTTAAGGCTATCGAATGCACAGCACGGTCCCGCCTCTCTCTACACGAACGATTTTCCGGTAATTGGCTAACTCAACAGTTAAACTCGTGCTTCGCTTTGCTGTTTAAAGGCGATCCATCTGAATACTTAAATTAGGCCGTTGGGAACGCCACTAAAGCAAACTTTCTTGAGGCTTTTCTCTTCTATTGTTCGGACACGTACATCTACCTGCAGCAGATACATTTCACGACTACAGCTTCTACTCGGTTAAATTCCAAGGATCTAGGTTGGGCGCCTATTTATAAATCAGCTGTTTCTCAAAGATCAGGAAGATCCAAACATTGCAGGTATTTTCTATAATCATGATGTCTTAAAACTTTGTATTGGAATCAATAAGAAAGAAACACAGCTTCAAACAGAACTACAGTGTAATGGCCCATAAGTAAAGTCAATAAAAATAATTTTGCAGCATCCTGGCATCGCAAAGTGACGTATAGATATATTTTGCAGATAGCATGGATTCAGATAATTCCAATGAAGTGCCATCAATACTGCGCTATTTCTGTTTAAGATATGAAATTAAGTATCACTGTACGCAAATCTCTTGAAGACATCTTTGCAGAGGAATACGCAGTAAAGTAAAATAACACTTTTATTGGTTCTTACTTGGGAAGTTCAGAAACTTCAGACAGGTTCCCATGCTTGAGATGCCTCATGCTTTCTCTATCAGCGAAACAGCCTTTTTCAAGAAGTTTGCCTTTTTTTTGATATAAGGAATACTGAACATGACAGTTCACATGGAAAAGTTGACGAAGTACCTTTCTCTATTGTCTTAAGTTTTTTTTTATTCTTTGTCGGCTCTTTTTGCCTCAATTTCCTTCTGTTTCTACGTCTGCACCTACTCCACCACCGCCCTCCCCCCGCCCAAGTGTCTCCACAACCGCCCCCAACCGTTTCCACTTTCGAGGAGGTGGGGTGGCTTTAGCATATTGTTCTGAAGGAAACAGCTACCTAAAAGATGAATTTCCATTGTGGTTACGAAGAAATTATTACGCTCGACTTTCTTCCAATCCCATTTCCTAATTTTCCCCAACTGTTCGTTATGTCCCCCAAGTGACCCAATGATTTCCCTCTTATTGAACAATTCAACTCAAGCTCTTCCACTGAGGACACTGCAATCATGATCCATCCCTCAAACAATCCCCATTCTCCAAGAAACAAGTTGATAATAAAATCAAAAGCTTCAGATACCAAGTATATTTCCCAGCACTCCTTCATTTCTCACATTTCCTTCGAATTTTTTTTCCACAATGATATAAGTTTAACTTTTATTTAGATTACAGTACGTTGCAACTATTAAATAAACCATGTACTTTACTGTCTAAATATAATGCTTACAACTACTTTACTGAACCATCTACTTCTATTTATACATGTCTGTATGTAGTATCTATCTTTCTATCTTCTTTCTATCTATCTATCTATCTATCTATCTATCTATCAATCTATCTATCTACCAATCTATCTCTATCTCTCTAGTATCTGGCATCCACTCATATCCTTCAATTTAGCTCAGTCCTTCCTCACTGTCTCATTCTCTGCCTGGATATCAGGAAGTAGAGCTAGTGGCTCATGTATCTAAAATATTAACAGTAACTACATTTGGTGGCCTTTGTGAAAGAGAGACTATCTGGTTGCAAAAACGTTTCAAGTTAATTGAGTAGGATAACTTTGGTATGGTAGGACCAGAGTTTACAGTGGGACTGAGGAAAATACCCTCCTTCTTTCTTCCAATAATTAATTAGAAGAAATTACATATGATTCGAGTTTCAGTGACAACACATCTATTCACAACTCAGGTAGCAGAAGGAAGGAGAATGATGGTGGTGAATTAGAGCTGGGCAACATTGGGTAACATCAACATGCAAGTGGAACTTGATATTTTGTCAATATGATGGTGCTTTGGAATAGGTGAGAAAGAGGATGGGTCTAATGATAAATTTATAGGACTCTAGAGATAATCATGCAAGGATGAGGAAGTATTACACAAATCCTCTGGCTGTGTATTAGTGCTCAAGCATCTAGTGATGCAAGGGCTTCAGCATACACACAAGGGAAGAATGTCAAGAGCCATAGAAATGTAGGGAAGATAATAATTGATAGAACCATTCAGTTGCAGTCACATTCAGCATCTTCGTGGATGTGATTAAGATCATTTATATGCTGAGATGGTGGTGAAAACTTAATTGTGATGCTCAAACATTGATTTATAGGAAAGAGTGGTACAGATTTTGAAGAGAAGATTGGTAAGATGGCAGAAGTGTGCCAAAATAGAAAGATGAAAGTTAACATTTTTAAGGAAAGGAAAGAGGAAAACTCTGAGTAGATGGTTTACATTTTAATATTAACCAGCATGTGGGTGATGCTTAAAATAAGGGTGGCTTGCAGTTTTGTGGGAATATGATTGAAAGATTAGGAAGCTGGCCTCATGAACAAAGTAAGCTTGAAGAAGGGGTAGAGGGACGTAATAAAACAACTGACAAATGTACCTTTAATGACAAAGCTCAGGAAATCTTGAGGGATCCTAAATTTGGTTAACAAAACTAAGAGGAATTCTGGATATGTCAATGAGCAAATGTCCATCATAGTAACAAAACATTTATCAAAACATTACAATTATTCTTGGAGAAATATGGAAAATAAGAACAGAAGGAATCCATTCAGCCCTTTGAGCCTACTCTTCCATTCGAGGTGTTTATGGCTGATCAGTACCCTTTTCCTCCTTTCACCCCATACCCTTTAACGGCTTTATCCCTAAGACTTCTTTTTCAAACCATTCAATATTTTGGTCTCAACCAATTTCTGTGATAGAGAATTCCACAGACTCACCACTGGCTGGGTGAAAACAAATTCTCCTCCTCCTGGTTCTAGACTTTGAGATCATTAGGGGTATCCCTTCATGCATTTACCCTGTCTAGTCCTGTTAGAAATTTATAGATTACTCATTCTTCTAAATTCCAGTGAATATGACCCTAACTTATCCAATAGCTCCTCACATGCCAGTGCTGATATCCAAAAGCTTGGTAAACCTTTATTGCAATTCCTCCAGAACTAGAACATCCTTCCTCAGATAATAGTCAAGAAAGCTAATAGAATGCTGGCCTTTATAACCAAAAGACAGGATAACAATGATGCAGAAGTTACACTGCAGTTATACAAAACCCTGGTTAGACCCCACTTGAACTATTATAAGCAGATCTAGCCACCGCAAATTGGGACAGATATGCTTGCCTTGGAGGGAGTGCAACATAAGTTTATAAGAATGATACCTGAATTTCAGGAGTTGAGTTATGCGGAGCAATTATAGAAATTAGGTCTGTTTTGTCTAGAATCTAGAAGGTGAAATAATAATCTGATTGAAGTCTTCAAGATATTAACAAGAGAAGACAAAGTAGATAAGGATAAGTTATTTCCACTGGTTGGGGATTCTACATCCAGGGGGCAGAGTCTGAGAGTTAGGGGCAGACCATTCAGGAGAGATGCACATCTACATTTGACAGGTGATAGAAATTTGGAACTCTCTTTGACAAATGGTAGTTGATGCCAGCTCGGTTATTAACTTTAAATTTAAGCGAGATCATTTTTTGCAAAGCAAAGTGTGCTCTTATGGGTAACTGTGGCTCCATGGCTAGCAATTGAAGCTTACAATGCATGATCAGAACTAATACTAACTTCTCGTTGCTCGAGAATGGGGACATGAAGTTAGATCACTGACTGAAGAAAATATTTAATGCTAAAGGTTCTTCAACCTCTGCAGTATAAGACTGATAAAAGGAACATGGAAACAAATGTCTCCTGCTTACAGGAGCCTGAGACTAATGAGCTTAGAACTATGAAGGCCTTGTGCTAGGGAGGCATGACATCAAACAGTCTAAAACACTGGGGAGAATATATAAAAGAAGGCACATTGTAGACATCAAAAGTGATAACTCAAGACCTACCATCACGAGGTGGAGACCCTGAGTGCAGAACGCGAGAAGACAATGACTCATTGGAGTGAACCTGACCATGCATGGTTAGTATCTAGACTCTAGTCAAATAGTTAGATAATGTCTTCCTTGTGTGCATCCTAAGAATTGAAGAGTTACTAATAAAGGGAAGTTTTGTTATATTCTAATTTAGCAATCACAAAATTTGCAACCCTGGTGGAGGAGGGGATAACAAAAGATATTAACAGATGTGGGCCAAAGTCAGGTATATGAAGTTCGTCCATAGATCAGCCATTATCATGTTGAATGGTGGAACAGGCTTGAGGAGCTGAGTAGCCTACTTTTGTTCCTATTTTCTTA